ATGATGTGGAGACTCTAGAAAGAGTGCAGAGAAGAGCAACAAAGATAATTATGGGACTGGAAGCTAAAACATATGAGGAATGGTTGCAGGAACTGGGTATGTCTAGTTTAATGAAAACAAGGACTAAGAGAGACATCCCCTATCATAGCAGTGTTCCAATATCTTCCAATATGCCAAAAAGAAGAGGGGTCAAGCTATTCTCCAAAGCACCTGAGGGTAGAATAAGAAGCAATGGGTAGAAACTAATCAAGGAGAGAAGCAACTTAGAACTGAGGAGGAATTTCCTGACAGTTAGAACAATTAATCAATGGAACAACTTGCTTCCAGAAGTTATGAATGCTCCGACACTGGAAGTTTTTAAGAAGATGTTGGATAACCATTTGTCTGAATTCGTGTAGGGTTTCCTGTCTAAGCAGGGGGAAGACCTCCAAGGTCCCTTCCAACTATGTTATTCTATTCTATTTAGAAAAGAGCATGTTCTTTTACACAAATATGGGTTTATAAAAACATTTTCCCTGTTTCTGAAAGAGTTTTGTTAACAACAAAGAAAGGGCTATTTAAAATGTGTATTACAATATTTAACTAAGGTCAAAATGTATATTTTTGGTTAACCTTACTCCTCTGAACATCACTCTTGAACCAAATTATCTTGGGCAACCTTTTCCAATTTTGTCTCCATGAAATATGGTTGATTTCAATTCTCATGCTGGGTTGAGCTTCAGGGAATCTTGCACTGTGGGGGATTTGCTGTTATAAGGAAAAGGATAGACAGAGAATACATGGATAAATATGGCCAACTTAAATAATGAGAAGATAAAGAGTTACTAGATATTTGATCATTGATGGGATAAGAGAAAAAAGGAAATCTAATCTATATCAATAAGAAATCCTTCTGCTCTTGAAGCTATTCTCATTTCCACCAAACTCATACATCAATTTGATGCTATGTTTTATCCCTTAAACTTCTCACCCCTCTTCTTTTCTTTTGGATCTCACCAATTCCATCCAACCACAACATTCTTGGCCTTCCCATTTCTCTCAACCCATTCATGTTTCCTTCTTGTATTTGTTTTGCAACTTAGCCCTTATTTATTCTCTTTATATGGAAACCATGTTAAAATCTTTCATATTGGTCATTCATTTTTTTATTCAATCCTCATTCATTCATCACCTTATCCATTGTGTTGTAACACAAGCACTTCTTACACAACCTATTCCACTTCATTTAACTTTCATGATTGTTCTGACATCCCTAACTCTCATTTCCATAAAATAAAATAGGCAAAAGCATGGTCTTCTTTCAACATTCATCACAATAAAACATTAGCTACCCAGTACTTTTCTACAAGCATTTGCATATCTTAAAGTTTCTCCATTTCCCCAGCTTTACTATATGATCTATCAAGGTACCCAGATACACCTACTGTCTTTAGTTTTTCACTGTGTATAAACAGTTTATATATACAGTGTATATATAAACAGGTTCGATTCCCAAACTTGGGTATGGCTAGCTGATGAGAGCTAAATAGCTTGAAATAGATCTATACTAGTCTCCCTTTATTTATTTATCAGCATAAATATAACAAGTGTATATACAGTATATAGAGCCAATATTCTATACAAGAATTTAGTTTCAATTGTCAGACTTTGAAGATCAGGAATAGGAATACAAGTAGTCCTCAATTTACAACCACAATTGAGCCCAAAATGTAAGTTGCTAAGTGAAACATTTAAATGAGCTTTGCCCCATTTTACAACCTTTCTTGCCACATTTGTTAAGTGAATCACTGCAGTAACACAGTTAAATGAAACTGGTTGCCCCACTGATGCTGCTTGTCAGAAGGTTGCAAAAGGGGATCACATGACCCTGGGATACGGCAACTGTCATAAGTATGAGCCAGTTACCAAGTATCTGGATTTTGATCACGTGACCAGGGGAGGCTGCAATGGTTGTTTAAGTGTGAAAAAGGGTCATAAGTCACTTTTTTCAGTGACGCACCTTTGGTCACTAAATGAACCACTGTAAGTCAAGGACTATCTGTATAGTTTTCAATGGTTCACTCAATTTTCTCTGACAAGCATAATTATCTTTTCTATGAGGCATCAGTTTTCAGATTAATTTTCCTTGTGTTAATCTATCTAGTATTGGTTGCAAATCATTAAAGTCCCAGCAGACCAGCAATGCATCCAAAAACACAAACATAGGACGTCCCGTCTTAACTATTTATTAATCTACTACTTGAAGTTATGATAATGCTGAACAAATGGTAGCTATGGCTGGTCCTCAAAGTATGGCCATTGCAGTGCCCCCAGGGTCACATGAGGAAAATTTGTGTGCTTGGCATCCCACCCGCAACTCTGACTGCAAAGGCACTTCGATTCCTACGTCTAACTGATCTATCCTCCCCCCTTCTCCCCATTTCTATCTTTTGGGTGCACTGCCTTTTGGGTGCCCCATGCAGCCCCTCCCCCTGCCCCCAGCTGACCTTCACTATCTTCTTTCTTCCATTGGTGATGAGATGCACCTGGCTAAGGCAAGTGCTGGCCCTTCTCAATTCCAGACAAGGCCTCCCTGTCACTGTGCAAGGGGTAGGCAGTAGCTTTGAGCACGGGGAGGCCAAAGGGGTAGAGATGGGGGGAAGAGGAGGGGAGAGTTGAAGCAGAGACATATGCAGTAGGGCAAAGGAGGCATGAGGTCCTTCCCTAATGATAGTACAGTCCTCGCCTAATGGTTGCAACCTGTACTATCAGAACTGCTGCTTGTTAAATGGTGCAATTGTGTGATTTTTCACCTGACTACTTTGGTCAGTGACAGAAATTTTGTCCCTATTGGGATTGTTAAGCAAGGGTGATCTATGTATTCATATCCCACAGTGTCACAAGCATTCCTTACCTACTTGCTACGCTGTCCATTGTCCATAAATACATTATAGAATCAAGAGTTTTCACATATCCTGGTCTGTTCAATGTTGAACCATTCTCTAATCATTCCATTTATTCTCACACATGCTCAGTAACGTGCAATGAGGTTTATGGCTGGTGAGGCAAGAGGGCAAAAGCCACCTTATGTTGGACACAGCAGCAGGGCGTTCAGGCGCTGTGTCCACCATAGAGGCGTCCCGCGGGATGCCTCTGTCGGACACAGCGGCGGAGCTTTCGGAAAGCCCCACCAAAGTCCCACCACAGCTTTCCCAAAGCCCCGCTGCGGCTTTCCGAAAGCCCTGCCAAAGCCCCGCCGTGGCTTTCCTAAAGCCCCGCCAAAGCCCCACCGCTGTGTCCGCCCTTAGAGGCATCCCGAAAGCCAGAAAGTCCCGGTGCTGTGTCCGCCATAGAGGCAGGATGCCTCTATGTTGGACACAGCAGCAGGGCTTTCGGAAGGGCTCTACCACACCAAGGGAGAACCCATCTTTCTCCCCTCTCCTACAAAACAGCATCAGAAAGGGCAGATTATATTAATGAAGACATCCCATACTTAAAGTGGTTCCCCTTAGACAGGAAACGGAAAATGATTATAAACATGCCTGCTGAATGGTCAGCCTCCTCGCTTTAACAGTTTTGGGTTGCCGAAACATAAAAAAAATGTGCCAGCTCGCGCACCAGCAGAGGCGGATAAAACACACACACACACACAAATTACTTACAATAATACAATTACGTACAAATT